GAATAATTTTATGGTCGGGGGTCAACACAGCATGAGGGATGTATTATTAAAGGGTCCCAGAATTAGGAAGATTAAGAACCACTGTTCTAAATGCTAAAACAAAGATACTGTACTGTCTGGCCTCCATGAGGTTCTCAACTACCCCTGCAAATAGATGTCTCCACTGCATGGCAGAGTATACTTTAAAGCTAAGAATAAAGCTGGAGTCTAAAATTTTATTTCCTTTTAGGTTTCAAAGTGTCCGTTCATGCGTGGTACAAAAGGGCCCTAAGTCTTAACTAACCCTGCAAGATGATCACCTGGGAACCTTCCCAGCCTCTGATGTCTGAACCGACTGCCCTGAGCAGACAGAGTGGCAGAGAGATGTCAGGCTCTAGGAAAGGAAACTTGGTGGCCTGTTGCTGAGTACTTCGCCTTAGGTCTGCCTTTTGGTTGGCCTGGTTGACCAGAACTGGAGGTGGATTAATCTAATGATGGCTTCCTCTTTTTATTCCCAGAGACACATGAAAGGCATCCTTTAGCCAGCCAAGAATTAACTGAGTGCTGGGGTGAATGCTTGTCTACATTGCTGAGAATGGCGTCAAGGTCCAGTCTGATACTAAGACAAGGTTAAACTGGGACACAGCTGCACAGTGATCCTGATGTCTGTTCCCAGCCACGCAGTCAAGACTGTGATAAGTGAGTATGCCCCAGACATGGAATCACTGACCCAGTCTGCCTTCCCGTTTGGCACCTCATCATCATGGGTACAGGTCTAGGGGTTCAAGTTCTCAGCTTGCATCCTGTCCGAGGGCTTGTCACCAGCTACAGTTCTGGAATGGGAGGGGAGTGCTGAGCAGTTTCAGGCTATACCACTGTTAGAGCCATCTTATGACTTCTAAAACTCAGCCAGACCCAGATTGGCTGGCCAGGATAAAATTAGACATGTGGGAGAGGGTGTCTTCATGTTCTGTCTCCTCAAGAAGCTCCTGGATGCTTTCCATCCAAGCGGTGGGGGCTATGGCTTACCTAGAATCTGAATTCTGCCCCCATGCTATGAACAGTTATTGTACTAGTCCTCGAGGAGTTGGGCTCCTAAGTCCAAACAAGCTACATAGGGTGAAAGGCCTTGACTTCAGAGTGTGCCTGTTCTCATCTGGCCTCTATCCCAGTCTCTGCCTCTGGCTTTTCCTTGATGATACTTTAAAGAATGGTAATTGGTTGCTTTCCCTAACCCCTGAGGCCCAAAGACCATTATGTCAGTGCAGAGCAGACAGTACAATGGTGGGATTTGGGATCAGAAGGAAGGAAGCTCCAAAAAGTCAGGGTAGATAGCTGGCACTAAGGCTGTCTTGGCACTGAGACCGTCTTGATTGGATAGCCTCTAAGAAGCTCATGGGATGCTCCCTTGGAACCCAGAATCGATTCTATACTGGTGTATGCAGAGAGTGGGAACCAGGTAACTGGGTTATTTCTCAGCTGTAGATAGATCTTGACTCTCCTAGCTGAGGGTCAGAATCTATTTGCCAGTCCACTTAGACTTGGTTTGCAAAGTCATATGCTACTAACAGGTCATTTCAGGATGTGTTCTTGATTTGCAGCCAGAGTGGGGTAAGTGGGCCTGGATTTGAAGGGGCCTGGGAGGAGGAGGAAGAGGTTCATGGAGGCCACTTCGAGGATGTAGTGACCTAGATGTGAGGCCTAGCCATAACATGGCACAGGTTCTCACAGCAACCTACACCATTAGTTTGAAGGCTGCCACACTGTTGACTCAGTAGTTCCATTGCTGAAGTTATTCCTGAAGAGATCGTTCATGCTGGGCATAGGAGCACATGAGCACATGCCTGTGACCTCCCCACCTGGAGGGCAGAGGCAGGCAGATACCTAGATAGAGGTAAGCCTGGGCTTCCCCAGTTTGGGATAGGGAAGGAGAGAGAAGGCAGGAGGGAAAGAAAGAAAAATAAGGAAGCTACCTAAATGTGGAGATGCATGTCTTTAATTGAGAAGCAAGAGGATTAGTAGTTTGAGGCCAGTCTTGGATCAATGACTCTGTCTCAAGCAAACAAAAATGGTGGAGGAAGGAAAAAAGGAAGGGAGGGAAAGAGAGGCAGGACAGGAGGGAAGGAGGGAAGGAATAGATGTATCTTTTATTATAAAATAATCTCAAAGAAGAAAATGGCTATATTTCTTTTGTTACAGACATGGAAGATATTTCTGTGCTGTTCCCTGTAATAGGGGAAATGGAAAACAGTTATTACCTTTGTTGAACATCTTAGTCAAGTAAATTATAGTTTTCCACTTGGTGGGACATTGTATAGCTATTATGAGGACGAGCACACAGGCTGGAGAGCTTGGAAAAGACAGTCCCGATGTAAGTGAAAACTGAAAGTAAGAGAGCGTGTGTCCCAGTGACTTCCTGTGCACCTGCGGGCAGATAGCAACGAGGAAGAGATACTGGCTCTGTGACCTAAGTCTCCTTAAGAATGCTCTTCCTTTCTGTGGTGCTAGAGTAGGCTCCTTCTACAGCAGTTTAAGCAGAGTGTCTGTAAGAACACACCATTAATAGTGACTTTCTCTAAGAATGGCGGTTGGGGGGCCGGGGGAGCTTTTGTTTGCTAAGTCATTCTTTCCTGTAGTATTTAAATTTTAGCTATACACATGTGTTATTTTAGTAGTTGAAATAAAACAATAAAGATATTTTAAATTTTAGAATTAAAACTTCTTAAAAGGCCATCTTTCCAAAAGAAAGGAGAGGAGAAAGACTGAGTCAGCTAGCACTTTATTCCCATTGTGTTTAAGGTCGCATCTATCTGTCTGCTCACCCATCTGCCCACCCACTCATCCATTCATCTATGCATTCATTGTTAGATACTATTGCCAGGCATCAGTGAAGAAAACTGAGCCTCACCCCTTACAGAGTTCTCATTGAAATAGGAGAAAGGCCGTAAACAGCAGTAAACTATTAGAAGACACTACAAAGAAGATTACATGGGATGGTTTGAGTAACAAAACATCCACCTTTGAGTGGAGATCAGGTGGGTCTCAGAGGAGTGAGAGCTGAGTTGAGACCTGAGTGACAGCAGGGACATGGCCACATGGAGCTCCTAGAAGAGCGTTCTACTCAGGGCACAGAATCTCTAGCCTGTGCCCTCACCTGCAGGTCACCCATTGCCTCCCAAAACCAGTGAATCTCTGGGCCAGACTCCATTCCCTGGTGCCAGCATCTTCATCCCTCCCATCTGGGATGGGAGTCCTTTTCATCTTTTAGCCTGAGTCCTTCCAAAGTCAGGGGTGGGATAGTTGCTTCTGACACCCTGGCTGTTGCTGCTCTGGACAGATGGCCCCTCTGGACATCCTGTACACAGGCCGCTACTCTTGGCTGGCATTTCCAAAGCAGGGCTGAGCTGTGTCAGATTTCCGTACCAGGGTGGATTGGCACTTGGGAAGATACTGGGTAATGTGTGCCCTGGCAAAGGGTCTTTAAATGGCTCATGACTTGAAGCCCTGAAGGGTAGCTGCTGCCATAGCTGTGAGGCTCAGCTTTGACCTTGGAATATTTATGTGTGGCTCCTGCCAGAATTTGGTCTGAGAAATAGGCTAGGAGCCCGTTATGTCTAACACTTAGAGGTGAGCTTGGTAGATGGCCCAGTGAGAAAGTACACATCCATTTCCATCAATCCTGTTACTCCAGATGCCATCTCAGTATCTAGAGACAGCACCTTGGAAATTGTAGTATCTCAGAGGAGCCCGTAGCTGGCTTTTGGAACAGTACAGGGTGCTGATCAGGGGTGATAACTCTGGAGCCAGGCTCATGAGGGTCTAATTCCTAGCCCAGCCATTTAGATCTATAAGAACATAGGCTAATTATATAGCTTTTTCTGCCTCATTTTTCCTCTGTAAAATGGGCTTCAGAATTCTCTGAATTAAAACATGGAAAGTGCTGAGAAAAGATTATTATTATCACTTGAGAGGTAAGGGGACTACTTCATCAGGGCCTTCAGTGTGATACCAGGGACCTGTCAAGAGAAAGAAGGGCCTGTCAAGAGAAAGTTGGTAGCTGAGTTAGCCACTAGCCACAGGAACTAGCCTCCCTTGGCCCATTCTGATCTTAAAGCATGTCTGTTTTCCTTCCTCTACCTTGATGACAAGGGAAACCCAGGGCCATTTGAGGTCTGGCAATAACTCAGATGCAGAATGATCACCCTCCCCCGTTGACTTCTCTTGACACTCAGCCCCACTCCTGTTAGGGGTAAGACTGAAGGTCTTTCCTGTCTTGCCCCAGAGACTACACAGATGGGCTGTGTGGCTTCTCAGAGCATGGGTTAGTAATGATTTGGCTACCTGGGGTGAAGAGTAAGCTTGGAGAGAGAATGGGATGCCAAGCCTAGCAAGATGCTTCCCCTGAGCAAAACATCCCCAGAACCATTGTGTTACAGAGTCTTAGCTTCCTGGAACAAGATCAGAATTTAAGTCAAAACCAAAGCCATTCCATTGTGTCTCTCTGTGTCTCTCTGTGTCTCTCTGTGTCTCTCTGTGTGTCTCTCTCTCTCTCTCTCTCTCTCTCTCTCTCTCTCTCTCTCTCTCTCTGGTTTTTTGAGGCAGAGTTTCACTGGAACTCACTCTGTAGAGCAGGCTGGTCTTGAACTCATAGACATCTGCCTCCCAAGTGCTGAGATTAAAGGCATGCACTACCACTGCCAGGTTTATCCTGGTCTCTCAAGGCTGATTTCACCTGTCTCCACTGCTCATTCTGTGTGATACTACCCTGTGACAGAGCTTAGCACACTCTGAGAGTTTCAGGTGAGATATTCCTAGGGACTGGATGTAAGAAGCCAGCTTCATTGTCCCTACCACCCATCCCCTCATATTGACAAATCTCTCGAGTTTTGATCTTTCTCAGGGATGCTGTGTTCTTTCTTCAACAAGTGTGAACTCCATATTCTTCAAATGCCTTTTCCCCATGCTTCCCATCCACACTCTTCCTCTGTGCCCCTGTGAATATGTTTGCTTGGACTGTCCTGTCTTTAGAGGCTTCTGGCCCCTGCTGTAGGCTTTCCAGGAGCTGATTCTAGAGCTGAGCACGGAGTTATTGGAAAGAGCATAAGGGTAAGGAAGCTGAGTGAAGGGAGGGCACAAGGAGTGGGGCCTGTTGGGCTCAGTAGAGGATGGGATGAGCCCAACCTAGATAGAAATTCAGACACAGCACCTGCGGTAATTAGAGATGGGAGCTCTCTGAAATGTTCTAAAGTCAGGACTCTACCTTTCATCTGAGCACTTCCTACCACACGAGCTGCATCCCAACCAAAAAGACACCCCCAAAAAGACTGTCCCCAGCCAGGTCTTCTAGTTGGCCACATTCATCCTGCATGGACCAGCTGTGTTCTCCTGCCATGATCCCTTGAACAAGGTCTGAACTAGCCAAGGTATACCTTCCATCTGCCCAAGCATGTTCTGCTGACAAGAAATGCTTGAGACTCCCTCTGTTCCCTGTTCTGTCTTCCCCTCATTTTTTCTGAGTTGGTCCCCTTTTATCCTATGTTCCTCTTTTCCTTAGACATGTACTCCTTCCATCCTGCTTCTGCTGCTGAAGTTTTGAAGTCCAGCTCTTCCCAGTTACCTAAGAAAGCTGGAGCCAATGGTTCCTAGCTGAGAAAACATTTTTGGCTATTTCACGAAGAGGAGATCAGAGACAAGTAGAGCAGGATTTAAAGTCAACCTGAATTTCTGAGTTCGAGGCCAGCCTGGTCTACAGAGTGAGTTCCAGGACAGCCAGAACTACACAGAGAAACCCTGTATTAAAAAAATAAATAAAATAAAATAAAAAATAAAGTCAACCTGAAGAAGGGGAGGAGTGGGTTAGGGAAGGAGCTCAGTAGCAGGACATTTGCCTAACATGTACAAAGTCCTGAGTTTGAGCCCCAGCAACATATACACACGCACACGTACACACACACACTCAGAAACTACAAGCACATACAAATGTGTACACACACACACAAACATACACACTCAGAAACTACAAGCACATACAAATGTGTACACACACACACGACACATATGCAATTATACAAACTACATGAATACACATGTGTATACACACACATACATGCATACATACACCCAAACTACACACACACACACACACACACACGATGGCTTATAAGGAGATCTACATAGTCATGTCAAGCTGCTGCAGAGGAGACCACTTGAGTGGGATACTCCCTATCCCAGAGTCCCCTGCATAGGGAGGAGTCAGGGGCTTGAGTAAAGGACAAATGGACAGACGTAAGTTCAAAGGGGCCTGAATCATGTTAGGAGGCCCAGTAGTTTTGGACCTCTATGCCTGGGCCACCTGCCATAAACCCATCAGTGTGCCCCTTCCCATGCCCCACCCCATGCATTTCTCGTCACCCAAGTCTGTTCTCTCTTGGTCTATAAAGAAAATTTACAAAACAGTGGACCTTTGCAAGGCTGTGCCTGGGAATGTTTACTCTTTTATTCTGTCCTGTTTTCAAGCCTGACCCTCAGGGCTGGCCTTTTCCTCTTAATTCATCTGTGGGCAGCCACAGGGAAGCAGAGGCCTTGCATTGGCTCTCCCAGGCTACATGTGTGGGACTATTGTTTCACAGAGTTTCCTGGTTCCATGGCTGATGTCCTGTAAGCCTGCTTAGCAGGGAAAGCTACTAGCAGACTGGCTAGGACAGGGACACAGTGACCCTGCCTGAAGTGGAGTTGACCCTAGTAGCAGCAGAAGCTATGACAGAAAGGACAGGATCCTTACAGAAGTATTTGTGTGTGTTTTGTTTTTAATGTTTGTGTGTGTGTGTGTGTGTGAGTGTGTGCGTTTGCCTGAATATATGTAAGTATACCATGTACATGTAGTTACCACAAGGGCCAGAAGAGAACATTGAAGCCCCTGGAATTTGAGTTACAGTTATGAACCACCATATGACTGCTGGGCACTGAACCCTAGTCCTTTGGAAGAACAGCAAATGATCTGAACCTGGGTCATTTCTCTACCCCTTATTGCAGTATTTAGAAATATCTAGATAATTCATTTACACAACAACTGTGATTGATATTCATATTACTCCCACTTTATGTAAAAGGAAACTGAGGCTGGGTACAGTGACATAGCTTATGAAAGACTGAGTAGCTTTGGGATGTCAGGCAGGACTCTTGCCCAGACAGGAGCTAGGATTCCTGAGGTCAGTCAGTACACTATGTTCACATCTAATTTGTGAAGTATTGAGGATGCCACAAGAAGCAAAACTTACATCAGTTTTTCGTGACTTCAGGTTTCCTTGGGTCCATTTATTTGTTTTTTGTTTTTGTTTTTTTTTTTGGTTTTTTTTTTTTTGAGACACCTTGGGTCCATTTATTTATCAAGTTTAGAGTATGCAGGAAAATGTAATGAAGAATCACACACAGTCACAACCAGAGACAATTTGTGGCTGAATGTTTTGCACATATACATGGGTATGCACCTTTGCAAAATCAAAGCTTCAAGTCCTGACATTTTTCTCTTCACATTGTGTGAAATGTCCCTCAGATGGTTACTGGGGTTAGCCTCAGGATGAATCGTAGCAAAGTGAAGGTTGACTGTTGTGACAGATGAGCAAGGTGTGTGGAGGTGGCACACGGGGCAGTAGGCAACTCCTGAATATTGTAGGATTTGCAGGTTCATGGACTATGGCAGATAGGTGTGGGGGTAAGGGGTTCACAGACAGCAGATGGAAAAGGCATCCCAGCAAAGACAGCGATGCTAGCATCCAAAGCATAGAGCTGGCTGGGATCCAGAGGCAGAGCTGAGCCCAGGAGGACATTGCCAGCTATCTCGGAGGGATGCTGATGTTGAAGATCCACTAATGGGCTTTTAATGGGGAGAAACATCAGACGGGCATTTTAGAAAGTTCACCCTCTCTGTACACCTTTCTTATGGACTTGAACTGTAAGCAGGCACGGCAAGGCTAAAAGACTTTTAGAGCTGCCTGGTGAGATGCAGTTGAACCTGAGCAGCAGCAAGGAGACAGGCTCCCACAGGATTTTAAAGGTGCAGAGTCCAGGTTTTTGGCGTGTGAGTTACCTTGACCAATGAGATGTTCACAGACAATGCTTAATTAGGGCTTTATACTTGCAGAGTGGGGGGAATGCCTTTTTATTTATTGAAAAGAATTTAAGTAATTTTAATGCTAAACATACCTTGAATAGGGGGTGGAGATGTACTCAGTTGATTGAGTACTTGCCTTACACACAAGAAACCATGGATTTGACTCCCATTGCATACGTGTGTATGTGCGGTGATGCATGCCTGTAGTCCTAGCACTTAGGAGGTAGAGGCAAGAGGATCAGAAGTTCAAGGTTGGTTTTGGCTACATAGTGAATTCAAGAGGCAGACTTGGGCATATCAGACCCTGCCACACACAAAATTGTTTAATGGCCATATAGTAATTGTTAGTACTTACAAGATGCAGTGTGATCTTTCCATGCATTGTCACAATGTCTAATCAGAGCAGGATAATTGACACTATCACCTGAGATATGAATCATTTTTTGAGAACACTCAAAATCCTCCCGACTCGATATTTTGAGATACACAATGCATTGAAATCAACCGTAGCTAACCTAGCATACCCCAAGACATTAGAAGTTATTCCCTCTCTTTAACTGTCCTCCTGGCCGTTAATCTTGATTTCTTTCCCTTCTTTCTCTCTCTTGGCCAGAGTGAAAAAATACTTGTTGGTTGGGCTGGCTTGCTTGTGGGCTGGTGACTTACAAACTTACCCTGAGAAAAGTGCTAGTCTGCTGAGTCCAGGAGGAGGACGGGAAGCTGATGGAGCAAGTTACCCCAGTTTAACCTCCCCAGCCGAGCACAGAACAGAGCCTCAGATGACTCACAGCCTTGTGATTTAGGCCAGCCGAGATCTTCTGACCCACAGATGCCTGAGCTACAGTAGGAAATGATGGATGGTGTAGGATATGGTTTGCAGATGGTATGTTTGGTTAAAGACTGAGAACTACCATCATCCCTCTGTCGAACGCAGTCCTGTATACACACAGGGGTGTTACAGTGAGCCCGACACACAGGCCTCTACACTCAGAAACTCAGTTTAAGGTAACAGGGCCTCTCAATTCTAACTGGTTGCTTGGTGGTGCCATCTATCAGGAGCAGGCAAAGGAGAGAAACTGGTTTGGGGTAAAGATACTGAATTGGTCCAGGAAGGGGAAGGATCTAGCTGTATTACTGAAGGAAGAGGTCGAGGCTTTGATGGCCAAGAGGATAAGGTCTCACTTGGGACTGAAAATGGAACTGAACAAAATAATCGGCGACAGAGGGGTTGGGTGCTGTGGAAACTCAGAGGAGGAAGAGGATTTGTGGCTGGGGAGAGGAAACATTTGCTCCAACGATCACACAGACACTGGGGCTGTGCTTCTGGGAATGTGAGAAGGCATTCCAAACAGAATAAACATGATCCGGGCAGGGAGACCTGGATGGTGAGAATGAGGTGGAAGAGGTATTTGAGGCCTTGAATGTCAGGCCAAGGATGTTTCTTTTTTTTTTTTTTTTTTTTTTTTTTTGGTTTTTCGAGACAGGGTTTCTCTGTGTAAACCTGGCTGTCCTGGAACTCACTCTGTAGACCAGGCTGGCCTCGAACTCAGAAATTCGCCTGTCTCTGCCTCCCAAGTGCTGGGATTAAAGGCGTGCGCCACCACCGCCCGGCCCAAGGATGTTTCATTAGGCAAGAGAGAGGAGCCCTTAGAGGCAGACAGCGCTATGCAGGAGGCCGAGTCTGGAGCGGGAATCAAGAGTAGGTTCTAGGGCTTCCAATTACAGACCCCGGGGTGTGGGGTGGCTAATATTTCCTCCCAGACTCACATATAAAATAGCAACACTCGTACCCTCCCTCCCAGGCCCCTCCCTCTCTTTCTCCCTCTCGTTCCTTTCGCCCCTTTCTCCTCTCTCTTCCCCTCTACCCACCGGCTCTCAGATCTCCTGCGGCTCAGGCACAGGAACTCACTGTGTAGTTAAGGATGCCCTTGAACTTCTGATTCTCCTTGCCTCTCTCTTCAACTCTCAAGCGTTGGGATTATGGTCATGCACTGCCTACCTGGTATGCCCAGTCCTGAGAATTAAATGTAGGGCCTTTGCATGCTAGGCAAACCCCTCCCTTTGTTTTTGTTTTTGTTTTGATACAGGGTCTTGCTGTGTCTTCCAGGCTGGCCTGGAACTTGCAAGCTTTCCTGTCTCAGTGTTCTAAGTGCTAAGCTTACAGGCACACACAGCTACACTTGGCTTCATATGAATTTCTGAGAACCAGGTTTTTAAAAAAATATATAGTTAAGGTACAAAGGTAGGTAAGTATTACAGCACTGAGGCCTGTGTAGCTAAAAGATGATATTAGGATTCTCAGTCAGGTGGGCAAACAGCAGGTGCCACCTTGATAACCTCTGTCCCTTGTCCTACCTGGGAGAGAGGATTGGTAGATGGCAAGCCAGATGACCATTGGTAGCTGATAAAAATTATTCTTAATAAACTGTGAACTCTCCCACACTACCCTCTGCACAAACAAGATGGGATTGTTTAGACCTCTTACAGAGGAGAGGCCTGGGGCAATAGCTGGATGACAGGGCTATAAAACAGTCACACTCTCAAAAGAGTTCACTCAGAGGTTGGAGAGCTTGTGGAATCACAAGGGCTCATGCACCAAAAGGTAAATACACAGGCTTCTGCTAGTGGACCACATGAGTGGCCCAGACCCTCTGTGGATAGAGCGCTAGAAGAAGGGCAGAGGCCTAAGAGGCAGACAAGGCTTCAGGGAAGAATGATGGGAGGGGGGCCAGGTCCTGAAGACTGATGGTGGGGTTTGAGAGAGGAGGAAAAAAAGCTAACCAAGCCTCATCTATTGTAGCAGTTAAAAATAAAATGTGACCACAATGATATCATTCTTAGGTATCTAGTCTAGGACAGCCGTTATGAACCAAACAAAGCCCAGATGTCGACAGGGATACAAAGAAGCTGGAATCTGTACATGTTCTGCCAAGGATGTAAAATGTATAAAACAATACCACAGTTATTTCTTATGTGTATTGATGTTTTGCATGCATGCACATATGTATATGCACCGCATGTGTGCAGTGCCCACGGAGGCCAGAGAAGAGCATCAGATTCCCTAGGACTGGAGTTATAGACAGTTGATAGTTGTCAGGTGAGTGCTCTCCAACCTAGTACTGGGGTTATTCAGAAAGGCACAACAAAATTGCCCCACCGCCTAATAATTCTACTTCCAGGTACAGATTCAAAGGAGCTGGGAGTTGGCCTTGAACAGAATCTTGTTTACCTGTGTATGCCAGCACTGTTCTAAAGTGGAAGACATCTGGTGTCTTAAGAACAGTGGAAAAACAATGTTCCATCCAATAGAAGTATCTTCAATCTTTCAAAAGAAGGGGTTTGCTCAGATGCAGGATACAACCCAAATAAACCTTGAGCATATTACACTAAGTCCAATAAATCAGCTGTAAGAGAAAAATTATATCAGTTGTCAAATTGACAGAGGCTGAAACAGTGGCTGCCAGAAGCTGGAGAAGGAGGAGAGGGGAGAGTGGCAGTTAGTAATATAGTTTTCTTCTTTGAGACAAGGGCCCAATATAGCCCAGGGTGGCCCTTGAATTCTCTCCATAGCTGAAGATGACTTAATCATTCTGCCTCTACATCTTTGGGATTACAGGTGAATACCACCACATCCAGTTTACATGGCTTTAGGCCAGCTCTGTCAGCTGAACAGAATCCAGCCCTGGTGCAGATAATCTGTTTGGGATGATGGGAAGGTTCTGAAAACCATGGTAGTGATGATTGTACAACATTGTGAATGTTCTTAATGCTATTGAATCATACATTTTAAAACTAAATATATATATATATATATATATATATATATATATGAACAAGACTCAAAAATTGCTAAAATAGTGTTTATGTCCTAGAGAGAGAAAGAGACAGAGACAAGGACAGAAAAACATTAGATCTCAGAAATATGAGTGGCCTGGAATAGTTGGGGAAGAAGTAAGGTCCCCAGTGGGCATATAACCATAAATATTATGGTAACCATAATGGTAACCAGATAACCATAAATATTATGGAATTCAGTAGACATTTCCACATAGTATTTGAGTAGAGTTTCTCAGAAGAAAGCCAGTGGGTTAGACTTTTCTTCCCGTCTTTCCCCAGGCCCAGCTGGCTAAGAGATAACAGGAAGTTAAGGCGGTACAGCAGGGTAAATGATTGGGACAATGGTTGGTACCAATGAGGATAAAAAAAAGGTGGATGATTTAAAAACCCCCTCTAGTCTTGTCACCACAGAGCGCTAGGGAGCAGAAGGCAGGGAGAAGTGCAGGGTGGCTCTCTCATCTGTCTCTCTGTATACCTAGCAGGAGGCCCCAGTTGGTACCATGGCTTCTGCCGAGCCCCTGACAGCGCTATCCCGCTGGTACCTATATGCTATCCATGGCTACTTCTGCGAGGTGATGTTCACAGCAGCCTGGGAGTTCGTGGTGAATTTTAACTGGAAGTTCCCAGGAGTCACGAGCGTGTGGGCCCTCTTCATCTATGGCACCTCCATCCTGATCGTGGAGCGCATGTACCTGCGCCTGCGAGGCCGCTGTCCTCTTCTGGTGCGCTGCGTCATCTACACTCTCTGGACTTACCTGTGGGAGTTTACTACCGGCTTTATCCTACGCCAGTTCAACGCCTGTCCCTGGGACTACTCCCAGTTCGACTTTGATTTCATGGGCCTCATTACCCTGGAGTATGCTGTGCCCTGGTTCTGTGGGGCCCTCATCATGGAGCAGTTTATCATCCGCAACACCCTCCGCCTGCGCTTTGACAAAGACGCAGAGCCCGGGGAGCCTGCTAGCCCGCCAGCTCTGGCCAATGGCCACGTCAAGACCGACTGAGTCAGAAGATGAATGTGAGGACCTGAAGTCTCGTAGGAACCCATGAACAGAGAAGAGACCAAGCTGGTGGGGTTACCCTTTGGTTCAGCACAAGCCCTGCCCCCAACTGGGTCTTAGCCCACTAGGGCAAACATAACCACACATGGTGGGCAGTGGGATGGTGTTGGGGAATTGGGTGTCTAGACAACAGAAGGACTTTGAGACTTGTCCATGGCTGGGTGATGAACAATTGGACTCTGATGGATGACTTTGGAAGCAGCAGACCTGTCCTAGCTAAGGGACATGAACTCTGGGGCCACAGGTGGGAGGCAAGGACTGAGAAGGCTTTGGCTGCTGTTGGGCCCACGCCCCACCTGACCCCCTGGCTTCAGCTGGGCTTTGGCTGGTTCCATTAGGCAGTATTCAGGTGCTTGCTTGCAACCAATACCTCCCCAGGGGCCTCTGAGCTGCAGCCTGAGAGAGACCCAGTAGCCAGTTGGGCTGCTTGGTGACACTGGTGTTGTGCAAAGGCTGGGAAAATTTCCTTTGGCTCCTCTCCCTCTCCCAGGGCCCCACGCTGCTTCCTTGGCCCCTGGGGGCCCCTGTGGTGCTGGATTCCCACCAACCTTGGGCTTTTGGAGGTTTCAATCCCGTGTGTTCGGTGGCGTTTCCCCTTTCTCTTATGTTCAAGACATATACCATTAGCAGGCAGCCCTTTCCTCTGTGTCAGTCACCATGCCCTCCCCCTCTCCCAGCTCCCTATAGAACACAGCAGTGGCCAGAGGCACAGCTCTGAAATGGACTCCACTTGCCTTGCGGCAGCCTTCCCTCCACCTTCATCTGATGACTGGGGGTACCCTGTCTCCCTGGCCCAGGGATGGTAGTCTGGTACCCCTTCCCTGCAGAGGTCCTACTGAAAATGCATAGTATCCCCACAATGGATAGTGAGGCCCAGAGGTGTGCGGTGGATCCACAGTGGGAAAAAAAAAAGACAAGAGTTCTTGTACCTGTTTGCCCATACTGGTTTATTATTTCAGCCAGTTAGCCAGTATGGCTTCCTGTGAGTTAGAGGAGACCCATAGAGAACAAGACAGATACGAAAGACCATGGAAGTCTCTTTAAATGCCTTTTCCTGGAAAAAAAGATAATTTCCACCATAGTCTCAGCTCAGCAGTCAACCCTCGGGGCTGCTCTTCCTACAACTCCCCCTGGCCAGCTGACCCCGTAAACTTGTTTCTCAGACAGTGTTAACCCTGTCTCACTCATGGGCCTTGTCAACTTGGCTATCATAACTTTACTCTATGATGGGTCCATTGCTGGCAGTGGACAGGTGAAATCTAGGCCCCTTCTGATTGTGTCCCTCACTCTTTGAGAAGATGGGATCATCAAATACTGTAGCATCCCATGAGGCCATCCTGGGACTCTCAAAGGTTGAAATCAGCTCTTATTTCTTATAGAACATTTTTTAAATGACCGGACCACCTGTGTGTAGTCTCTGGACCATACAGACAGCACCAGGCCAGGGCCAGCAGCAGGGCTATCCTAGGCTGTGGGAAAAGACTTGGAGATACAACCTTCTGTGGCATCTTTTCCCAGAGTTTTCTCTGTCTAGGGTAGAATGCAAAGTGTTTCCCTGGGTAGGCTTCTCAAATCACCAAACACTATTCTGTTGTGGGGTTGCGGGGAGCACTTATTATATCCCTAATCCCAGGGATTTCTGGGAGGGATTCAGGCTTCCAATGGGAATGGTTGTTTTCCACCTACAAATGGAGAAGATTCCTAATTTTCTCCAATTCCATATTATCTTAATTACCTGAATCCTAACGCCTCTCCAGGCCACCTCACACCTGTCTTCACAACTGATCTATTGGCTTGCTGACGTGTCCCAGCATTGAGACTCCAATTCTCAACCAGAAAAGGCCACTGGATGACCCCTAGGTCTCAGTGTTCCAGATATTGTCTTGCAGACATCCCCTAGTACCTTTTTTTTTTTCTCAAAGCTCTATTAATCCCATGTCAGGAGGGCTTCCCAGAGTGGATCTGCATTCCTGACAATACTCTGTGGCCTTGTGGTCTGCTTTCCTTGGTCCCTTGTTATCCTAGGACCCTCACAGCACAGAACCCCCAGCCAGGGGAGGCCACACCTTAAGGCCTGACCACAGACCTGCAGGGTCAGATCTCACCGAGTGTACTCTAGACTTCAGCTCTTGCTTATTGGCTCCCTTCAGGGCTCCAACCCCTTAGTGCTTAGGGGCTCGCACACAGGTTGGGATAAGTAAGCCCTTCTGAGCAGTGGGGAGTCTGCTGGCTGTTTATGGAGCCTCCCTCTGATGTTCTGAGCCCAAGGTAGGAGTTTCAGATAGTAAGTATGCTGCCCTGCATGGTTGAGTTGCTTTGGATGTCTGCTAGGCTTCCAGTCCCCTGTCCCCTCCTCATGCCAGAGAGTCACAATGACCTGTGCTTATTCACAGCAATAATATATAGGGAGCGTCTGTGAGTCCCCTTTGTCCTGGACCATTACTCTTCATGGATCTCCCAGGAGACTCTGCATGGGTCAGTTCATGTGAGAATCTATTTATGAAGCTCTGGGCTGTGCAAAACATCACAGGAGGCAAGTGAGAGGCCCAGCCCTGAACTATGAGTAAGGCAGTGGGCGTGCCTTCCACCCTGAAGCCACCCTTACCTGAGAAGCCGTAGGCCCCAGCTTTGTAACATGGCCTATGAAGTGGATAGGACTGTCTTCCAACTGGACAGCTCTTGAAAAAGGCACATGACGAGTTTGTGAGCCCGTTGCCTGCTATGTCTCCGTTAGTCTGTCTCTCCCTTTTCATAACTGTGCACATAAAATATACTGGTGTTTGTGTTCCCGGACTGGCTGTGACCCATCTGTTCCACTGTGGGGCCCCTTTCCCAGGGCTTACTGGAAGTTGGGCCCTTCATACTTGGCAGTATCTACGTCACACCTTCCTGAACCAGGATGGCTGGTGGTGAGAAGGTGTGGCGCTCCCATCAGCCCTCACCCTCTCCAGTCACCCGAATCCACTCCAGTGCTCCCTAACTCGTGCAGTCCCAGGCCAAAGGCAGATACATTTGGGTTCCCTACACCTGTCCATGAGATGAGCAGCTTCTAGACAAATTGGCAATAACCTCGTATGTCCCATGAGTAGAGAAGGCTTGGGGGGTACTTGACAACAACACAAAAAAGCTAAGAGGCCAGAACCCTTTTGAACAACATGAAAACCATACTTAAGGATACAGGTCCCTACTCCTTCATAGCAAACCTATGTTCACTGAGAAGGCCTCTGGAGGATGCAGTCTTTTCCTACTTCATGAGCTTGGCTCTGTCTATGTCCTCTGCCCAACCCCTGCCATATACCATACTCCTGACTACTTTCCTGCTTCCAGGAAGAAGAGGGAGAGTTTAGAAATCCTTCAGACCTGGTCTATAGAGTGAGTTCCAGGACAGTCAGAGCTACATGGAGGGACCCTGCCACAAAAACAAAGTTGTTCAGTCTGATCTGCTAAACCCAATTGTCCTGGCCCCTGTGCCATAGCCAGGGTACAGAGCATGGCAGTGTGTTTTTAAGTCACTGGGAAGGCCTTTTGCTTTTACTGTACCCATATTCACTTGAAAGTATTTATTTTTTTGACAGCTGGTCTCCTTATAAAATGGCACTATAAATGAAAGCACCCTAACAACCATTTGCATGTTAATATAAACAAACCTATAAGGTAGTACTTATAAGATTTTGTAGAAAGAGACAAACAATGAAAGTCTAAATGGAGCCATAGAGGGCAGGCTGGGTGTCGGGGTGCATGCTTTTTATTCCAGTGCTCAGGAGGCAGAGATAAGTGGATTTCTGAGCGTTTAAGACCTGCCTGATCTTCAAATCCAATCCAGGACAGCCAGGGCTACACAGAGAAACCCTGTCTCGAAGAACAAAACAAAACACAAAAGGAAAGGAAAAGAAGCAAAGGAGGGGGGGGAGAGAGAGAGAGAGAGAGAGAGAGAGAGAGAGAGAGAGAGAGAGAGAAGAGGAGGCAGGGCCTACACTTAGAGGACCCAAGACTTAATAAGTAGCCAGCTCAGTGATCGGCATTTTCCTGTTACACACACACACATGCCAAGCATGTGTGCGCAGGTACATGTACACATGTTTGAAAGCATATGGAGGCCAGAGGACAACCTCAGGTGTCATTTCTCAGGAATGCTCTCCACCTCCTCTGAGATAGGGTCTTTCACTGTCCTGGAACTCACTGGTTAGGCTAGTCTGGCCAGCCAGCTAATCCCCAAAATATTGTTTCTGCCTCCCTGGCCCTGAGACTACAAGAGATGCATCACCAAGCCAGAGCCTTCTGTGGGTTCTGGAGCCCAAAGTCAAGTCCTCATACCTGCAAAGCAAGCTCTTCACTGATAGCCTGCTTTCTTGACACCTACTCCCACTTTCCTCTTCCCCTCCCAAACCAACCCAAAGACTAAAGATGCAGGGTTCACACAAATGGCCTAGGGAGAGCTCACACCGAGGTCTGCATGATGTTTAACGACAATGAAGAAAGTACTAGAACTTGAACTCCCCCCCCACCCCCCGGAGTGAGTCTCTCAAAGTGTGCATTTCTGCCCTGTGTGCTGGTGCAACCAGACGACAGGCGGATTGCTTGCCTTGGGAAGGTGATACAGGAAGATGGTGCCGCTGGCCCAAGGTTAGGGGAGCTGAGTCTCATTTAACTGCAGCCATGGCTCCTATAGCATTGCAGCCAGGCACCAGTAGCCACGTTTTCATCCTCTCTCATTTCAGATGGGCACCATTCTGTCCCTGTTTATAGAGGAAGACTGTTGCTACTCAGCCTACAACTTTGGCTTCATCACTTTTATTTTGGGGTGGGGGGAGGATCTCTGTGTAGCCCTGGCTTTCTCGGACCTCACCACGTAGACCAGGCTGGCCTCCAGCTCACAGAGATCCAGCTGTTTCTACCTTCCAAGGCCTGGGATTAAAGTTGTGCACCACCATGCTTAGCCTGGACTCACCCACCACATTTCTTTCCAACCCCTCCCCCATCTTTTCTGAAATAGCATTTCATTATATGGCCCTACACGGGCCCAAACTCCTAGGCCCAGCAGCGCCTGTCTCTGCTGACAACTGGCACATGGCAAGGCTCCCGGCTTTACAAATCTTGTTTTGACTCAAGCAGATCTTTCAAGGAGGATTTGTGAGGAGGCAGGTGATGACTTGAGTTCAGCTCGTGTGAATGCTATTTACAAAGCTAAATGGAAATGTTTGTGAGTAGCAGGATGGGTGTCAGAGGGCTATAACGTAGGCACTATAGAATGCCATCTTAGCCAAGCCAGGACAACTGGCCAAAGACCCCTCCCAGTGGAGGAGGTTGTGAAATCTTGGCCTCTGGATGCTAGATTTATCCCTGACACTCGTTCTGTCCCTCCTACACAGTTTTATTTTTGTCCCAGGCTTTTTTCAATGATCCTATTTTCAACTTGAAGAGATGTCTGGGCCTCTGGCTGTATGTACTCTTCAAGGGTTTGAAACTACCAGTTGAAACCTCTTTGTGGCAAGACAAGAACCCTCTGCCAGGCCCTTCTGCCAACTCAGACAGGCCAGAGGGCTCACCATTTTAGCTCAATTCCATATTGGACATCTACAAGAGTAGGAACCAGGCTAATGGCAATGATGGATGATCAGGGATAAAAATGGTGACAGGGACCCTATCGGTTATGCCATGTATAGGTGTTTCTCCATGGGGGACTCTTCAAAGAGACCCTGCTTGTCTTCAGGGACAGGTAAGGGTACCCAGGAACTACATAGAACTTTGCCATTCTTTGATGCTTTCAGAGATGGGCTGGCTTCCCACTGTCCTGAAAACACAAATATTTTCTATACTTGAGCAGTCTCAAGCATAGAAACTCAGTCTCAGCTGAGTTTGAAACAGAACGAGGCTAGAGCATAGTGGTTGTTTAAAGGATCTCATGATGAATGACTTTTTTCTTAAGATAGAGTCTAATATTGTAACAAAGGCTGTATTGAAGCTCACTCTGTAGCCTAAAACTTAAAATGATCCTCCTGCCTCAGCATCCCTAGTGCTGGGATTAAAAGCATGAGCCACCAACGGACCAACTGATAAGTGAGGTTTGTGCTCTAGAGTATCATAGGTTCTTATGGGAACCTGAGGCTAGAGATTCTGTTCAGACAACTATCCCAGTCATTGTCTGTGGCTGCCATCATGGAGCAACTGACAGACATGCTCCTGTTTCAAAATCCACTAAGTCTCTAAGGAGCCTTGCCAGCGTCTTCTTGGAGCTTTCATGCTCTGTTGATTGGTACTTTCAGGTGCTGTGTTACCTTGACCTCGGAAAGAATGACCTCTTAGAGTCAAATGGTATACAGAAGGAAAATCCACTGAGGATACGTAGCCTTCGCTCCTGCTTTAATCATACCTACTGAACAGGGAGTTTTCTGGTTAAGGATCTACCATACGGTGAAGAGAAAGGTTTATTTTAGCTCACAGTCTTGGATATTTCAATCCATAACAAACTGATTCCCTTGCTTTAGTCATTGATAGCACAGACCACCATCCAAGAGTGCATGTCAGATGAGACCTGTCACCCCCATGGCCAGGTACAAAGGAAGAGAAAAGGGTCAGGTTACCAAGACCACCTTCACAAGCTCACATCCTATGACTAACTAGGCTCCACCTATTAAAGGTCCATTGCTTGCCAATACTGCTGCCAGCTGAAGACCTTTACTATACAGACCTATGAGGGAGGCTTACCTAAATGTAGCAAAGTTCTAAGAAAGAGGCAGGGTCTTGCCCAGATAACCCTTCCTGAGGAGTAGGACCAAGTGCCAGCAGGCTGCAGGCAGATCCTGGAAGTCCTTGTACTCTTAGCACCTGCCTTGCTTTCTCAGAGGCCAGGTTATGGATTGAGGCCAGCAGGTCTGCAAAGCAGGCTTCCCTGGCTTCTGCAACCCTTTCTCTCCCAGCTACATGAGCATCATTGCTCTGGGATAGATAGCACCTGTGGGTTCTGAGGAGCTGCAAACTTGTAAACATATCTGCCCTACCTGATCCTTTATAAGATGGCTACTAGGGGCATCCTGAAGTGATCTGGGTGCTCAGATCCCTTCCTTCCTGCAAACCTGTGGAATATCAGGGGTCTTGGCAGCGTTAGAAGATACCACAGAAGGACATGAGTGGTGAACATCATATGTGTTAAGCCTGATGGACTTGAGTTCTGACCGCGGTTCCTACCACTTACTATCTATCTGTATAGCATTTGTGGTGGTTTAAATAAGAATGGCTCCATAAACTCATATATTAGAATGCTTAGTTACCAGGGAGTGGCACCATTTGAATGGATTAGAAGGATTATGAGGTGTGGCCTTGTTGGGGAAAGTGTGTTATCTGGGGATAAACTTGGAAGTTTCAAAAGCCCATGCCAGGCCTACGCTCATTCTCTCTGCCTGTAGACAAGGGTGTAGCTCTCAACTACTTCTCCAGGACCATGCTTGCTATGCCTTCAACCATGCTTCTTGCCATGATGATAATGGACTAAGCTTCTAAAACTGTGAGCAAGCCCCAATTAAATGTTTTCTTTTATACAAATTGCCTTGGTGTCTCTTCACAGCAATAGAACAATAACTAAAACAGCATTTGACAAGACACTGGGCCCCTTTGACAGTGACATTTCACAGATTTGATTCATTTTATTGAGAATACATACTGACCTTTTCTCTCCCAGACTGAGTGTGAATGTAACCATGGCAGAGATTCTATTAGCAAGAGGGTCATTGGGTTTCATTCAGCCCAGCAAGTGTATTGAGAGCTGCAACGATACACATCTGTGTTATTAAGCATTG